CTTTTTCATAGGTTGACAATGCTTAGTTCTGCTTACTTACTTGTTTACTCAAATAGGCTACTAGATGATTATCTTGAAGTAGCACAGCCCCAAACCCTACATCACTAGCATCTGTTTCTCGCACAAACTGTTTGCTGAAGTCAGGGATAGCAAGCACTGGTGCATTAATCAAGGCCAACTTGAGTTGCTCAAAAGTTGTCTGAGTTACTGATGTCCAGACATATGGAATGCCCTTCTTCAACAATTATGTGAGTGTTTTACTGATGAGGCCATAATACTTAATGAACTTTCTATAGTAGCTTGTCAACCCCAGAAATCCCCTAAGCTCCTTAACATTCACAGGTTGTGGCCATTGTTCAACAGCAAGAACTTTTGATTTTTCAGTGGATATGCCTTTCCCTGAATGCAGTGCCCCAAGTACTCTACTTCTTCTTGAGCAAAAGTGCACTTAGACAACTTGATGTAAAACTAATGTTGCTTCAATATGTCAAAGACTTGCTGTAAAAGCTGCATGTGTTCCTCCCAAGTTTTTAATAGATTAAAATATCATCCATGAACACCAAAACTCCTTTTCTGAGTAATGAGGCAAATATGAGTTTATGATACTTTGGAAGGTGGCAGGGGCATTAGTGAGCCCAAAAGGCATAACCAAGAATTCATATAGACCACTGTGTGTCTTGAAAGCAGTTTTATGTGTATCTTCAGGTTTGATGCAAATCTAGTGATATCCAACTCTCAAATCCAATTTGGAAAACCACTAAGCCCCTGCTAGTTCATCAATGAGCTCATCAACAAGAGGCATAGGATGTTTATTCTTGATAGTTTGGGCATTCAAGTGTCTATAGTCAACACAAAATCATCAGCTCCCATCCTTCTTCCTCACTAGCAACACAAGTGAAGCATATAGACTCACACTGGTCTTGATAATGCCCTGTTGCAACATGTCAGTCAATTGTTTTTCTATCTCATCCTTTTGAGTTGGAGAATACTTATAGAGTCTAATGTTCACTGGTGTGGCTCCAGGCAATAGCTGAATCTGATGATCATACTACCTTCTGGGAGGCAAAACAAATGGAGCCTGAAACAGTTCAGAGTATACAACCAGCATATCCTTCAGATCCTAGGGAACATCAACATCATCAGTTACAGCATGCAACTCATTTTCCCTTTGTCCTGAGTTCTAATTATCCTCAATAATCTTCATCTGAACACAACAGGTGACATTCTGTTGGTGGACCAACCCATACAAACTTGCCACATAAATTGGTGAACAGTGATTGACACCTTGCTGTTAACCTTGCAGAGTTATCCTTCTACCCTGATAAGTGAATTTCATGATGTTGTTTGCCCAGTGGATCCACATAGGGCTACAAGACTCAAGCCAATCCTCCCCAAGGATCATGTCAAAACATTTCAGTGGAAGCACCCCCATAGTGGAAATGAAGGAATGACCCTGAACATTCCATTGCAATTTTTTACCTGATGAGAGCATATCATTGGGCTTCCATTAGCAGCTATATAATGAGTAGGAGGACACTCACTGAGAGGCACCTGCAACCTTTCTACCAACTAAGAGCTGATGAATGTGCCCACATTGACAGAATCCACAAGAATCAACACATCCATTTTGCCAATAGTTCCACATAATTTTAGTGTCTTGCGTCTGACACTAGCAGTATTTGAATGCCTCACTGCTAACATAGTTTCTTCCACCGCCTCCACTGGATCATCATCTTGTGGGTCACCTTCTTGTCTCCAGTGCATCAAGAATCTCCTCTATAACATGCAGAGGTACCTGCTGAGGGCACTTATAACCTGGGGCCCATTTGTTGCCACACTTGAAACACAACCCATTTTTCTTCCTAAACTCCTTTAGAGCAGACAGCTTGTCCTCAGCCTCTGGTCTTGGGTTAGGTGCTTGCCTTTGTCAACTTTACCAGTCTTGGTCTTCTCTACCCTAGGTTTCCAAGCACCCTTGCCGAACTCTTTTGCTGCTGCATGAGGTTTGCACTGAGTGAGTTCTTCTTCCTGAATGAGTGCCAATGCACTAGCAGTATCAACATCCCTTGGTCGGTGCAAAGCTATCACAGATTGAATTTCCTCCTTCAAGCCAGTAAGAAATCGGGTCACGAAATAAGTATCATCATACCCACTATTGTACAGCAACAATCCCTGGGCAATTTCTTCAAAGGCAGTCTGATATTCCACAACTGAATCCTTCTGCTTGAGAGACTCAAACTTCTTCAGCAAAATTTGATACTGATTTTTATCGAACTTCTCCATCACCAATTCACACAGATGACTCCATTCAGTAATCCGCCCCTTTCTCTGCACCATCTGCAACCACGTTGCTGCCACCCCTTTGAAGTTGAGCGTTGCAAATCTAGTCTTCAGAGATGGGTGCACCGCATAAACCTCAAAGAAAACCTCGCATTGGTCACGCAAAACCGAGGAGAATTGCCATCAAACTTTGGAAATTCCATTTTAGGAAATGGTGGCGAACGACAACCGGCAGGAATAACATCATCATGCGAAATGATAGGGGGAGGATTCAGACATGGGAACATACCTTTGTTGATGTCTTGCGGCCGAGGTCCTAGGACACCGCTGCAGTGTTCACCGGGCCCCATGGGCTGCTCCTTGTCCTTAGCTGGAGAGATTGAGGACGAACCTAGAGCTAGGTTGAGGTCCACGATGCGTGTACCATGATGAATCAGAGCGGCTGTGGGAGCCATCGTCAACCACGTCTCTAAGGAATCCATGCGCGATGTGGCGAGATCAACCCGCTTCGAGACGTCGACCAAGGATATAGTCGCACCGTCAGCCCACTCATGCAAATCAGCAAACGCCTTGTCCGCGGAAACTTGCCACGCACCCATGGCATTGAGCGAATCCAGAGAGTTTTGAATCATATTCTGAAATCCCGCGAACTGCTTCATCGTCACCTTGAATTGGGTCGATAGTTCTTCAAGCGATTTCGCCATCTCTTGCTAGAACTTGTTCGAACCACGCTTCGGCGCCAGACTTGTGGAAGATCAGCACTAGCGGCGTCGCAACCGCGTGCTCGATCACCGACTCGTTCGACCTCGGCTTGGACTTAAGGATACGCGCTGCTCAATCACCGAGATGACGAACAACGTAACCTACTGACGGGAATTACAAAATGCGATCAAGGTGAATCGATTACGGCGGCCTTATACCAATTGTTACAACACGGCGAGGATTGCAACGGATATCTAGACGGAATCGGAATTTAGGCTGAGTTACAGCAAGAACAGGGGATTGGGGTCAGACGAACGGAAGGATTCAGAAGCGATCAATTGGAAGGCAGATGTTCAGAGTTCAGGTTCTATTCCTCTTTTGCCAATCGATTACACGAGCTTATATACCCGCGCTGAACACAGCTAGATACGCACGCTACAACCGTCGTAATGGCCCAACGCCTAACGCTAAAGCTCATTAAGAAGCCAAGAGTCTAACCACCGCAAGTAACTGAATATACGCTGACGCAGCCACTTGCCGTCCCGTTGCCGAACGCCCAACGGTGCCACGGCGCTTAGAGCGGGTCCTGAGAGACTGCAACACTTTCCCTGCTAGGTACTGATTATTATTTATTTATTTTACATGAACAGGTGTCACGCTGAACGCATTCAACACTGGAGCAATACGGCTCGCCACTCGGCCACTCCCCACTGGCCACCGATCGCACCCGCCGCCCCCGACGCCGGGCGACTCGTCGCCGTCCTCCCTCCGTCCTCCCCGATCACCGTGCTCAGGCGCACCTTCCTGCTCCGGTTAGTTACCCCCGCCCCTTGATCCCTTCCCCTTTCTTGGATCGCTCGCACGAGGCTGGCCTAAGCCTAAGTTAATGGTCGCGGGTCACGCATTCGCCCCGCCGGACCATAGGGGCTCGCTGGTCCTTGCGTCCGCGCGCGGGAGCCGGTCGTTGAGAGAAAGATTTCCGTTTTTTAGTCGCTATGGAGGGTTAATGCCGCCTAATCCGGTAGGATTCTGGGGATTAGTGTTGATGGTGATGCTAGGTTTATGCAGCTGCGGCCATATGCTTGCCATTATTTTAATCGATTGTGAAGAGGAAGTGACCTCTGCGGGCACGTTGGAATCTTTTGTGGATATTAGTCACGGAATGCTGGGCTTTCTGCATCTTGTGTCTGAAATTCTTCACTCCGGCACTTACAAATGGAACACATTTAACATGCGTGTATATTTTAATCAATTGAAGAGGTGGCAGAGTTGCGGCTGGAGTTGCTGGGTTTGCCTGATAAATCTGGAGTTGCGGCTGGAGGTGCCCACTACTAATAAATCTGCTTTACCTGATACAAGACTTTTATGTTTCGGATCTCTGTTTCATGTGCCTGTTCTTATTGTGTTTTATGTCTGTGTATAGGATGGCCAAATCTAAGACTCTGTTTACTGTGGTTTGTGTGATATCTAACTTTTCTGCGCATCTATCACCTGCAACTATTCGTATTCAACAGTACCTGCATCGGAGCTGGCTAACTTGATTAGCCAAGTAATGGCGAGTAAATCATGACTTTTGTGTTGATAGAATGTAAACAAACTTGGATCATATCATTGCAAGAAACAAGTAATGGGATAATGTCACAGTCAGTTCAAGATTTAGTTACCATTTTAGGTTATATCTGGCTAGCTCCAGTCCAATGAAATGTCACGATTACAAGGCTTACGCCTGAACTATTGTTTGTGCTTTATTGCTTTGGTCTGTTATGTCATGTCAAATTCTGCTGGTAGTAAACTTAAATGTATCATCTACTCTGAATTCTTCATTCATGTGTGTGGTTAATGTTGTTATATATCCATGATAGTAGTATCCTTGTGTAATTGTCAGGTTCATCTATATCTTTTGTCAGAGCTCAGAGGCGTATATTTCTGTTACCAACAACATTATTCTTTTAATACATGCAGGACATGATTATTGCATAAATATGAAAGTGGTTTGGGACAAATTGCAAGACAGTGTGATGGAATGCAATAGAGAAGAAGCCGTAAGGGCAAGAAGAATTGCTTTAAAGAAGTTGGAGAAAAGAGATTTTTCTGGTGCCCATAGGGTTCCACTACAGGCTCAAAGGCTTTATCCAGAGCTTGAGAACTTATCCCAGTTGTTAACTGTCTGTAAAGTGTACTGTGCGGCTGAGACAAAGATCAACAGACAGTTGGACTTGTATGGTATCCTTCAAGTACAGGTTGCAGCGGATGACACTATGATAAGGAAGCAATATGATGAACTTGCATTTTGGCTTCATCCCAACAAAAATACTCTTCCTGGTGCTGAAGCTGCTTTCAAGTTGGTTTCAGAAGCTCATATGATATTGTCTGATCATGTGAAGCGATCTCGCTATGACATCAAAAGACAGACTGCAGGGTTATCAGACATAACTCTTGGAAAAAGAAGTGGGGCTAGATACGTACAACCATATGATTGTGCAATTGTTTTCTGGACTGTATGTCCACACTGCCAGAAGCGATTTGTCTACTACCAGCGGAACTTTTTGGCCATCTGTGATGACTGTGGAAAAAATTTCTTTGCTTTTAAGTTGAGTGAGCAGGCTGTGCCCTCGAGATTCCTGTCAGTTGGACCTGATAATTCTCAAGTTTCACTAAAAATGGTTTCATGTCAACAACACGGTGTCCCTGATCAACTGATACAGGACACAGAGCTTTGTTCTACAGGAGGGAGTGTGGCTTCCGAAACAACAGTGGATTCCACATGTACTGAGGAACATATAACATGGGCTGGAATCTCATGTGTTCATGGGAAAGGTAGTTCAGAGACAAGAAGCAATGTAATTCAGTGTTCAGTGGTAAACCAATCTCACACTTCATCACCTTCTGCAGACAAAGGTGCAACTGGAAGTATGATGTTAGAGTCTACTGCTTCTGACGTTGTCAACCAGAACTTTGGTAGAGAAGATGCATCTACAGTGCCAAATGCTGCAGGGTCATGCAATCTTCAGATGTTAGGCAAGAGGAAACATGATGATTGTGCTGACAGAGGCCACAGGAGGGACTCTTGTCTCAATAAGAGGCGAAGTAAGGACAATTCACTTTCTGATGCTAATACCACTGCTGATAAAATGTATAATGATGATGTTGCTGATGCTAACACTCAAGCTGCCAAACATGTTTCTGACACCATGGACAGCCAAGGTGAAGGAAATATAACACGTGAAGGTAGTCAGGAAAGGTACAAGGAGGAAGCTACAGATATTGCTAATCAGACGCATGGCAATCCTGGGACTGCCTATGAGTGCACTGGTAGCATCCGCAGCAGGGACTCTTGTAACAATGACAGGCAAAGGAATGACAATTCACTTGCTGACGCCAATTTAATTGATGATAAAGTGTGTAGTGATAATGCTGGTGGTGGTGAGAATCAAGCTGCTGAACATGCTCCCTTCACATTGAACAGCCAAGATGAGGGAAATGCAACACAAGAAGGTAGTAAGCAAAAGTACAAGAAGGATGGGACAGATATAGCTAATCAGATGCACTGTAATCCTGTGATTACCTATGAGTCTCCAGATTTCTTTGATTTCGGAAGGTTAAGAGAAGTTAACAGCAGTTAATCAAGTCTGCAATTTATGATGATCATGATTCCTTGCCAAATTATGCTCAGATAAATCACGTCAATGCTTCCAACAATAATGTTCAGTTGACTTGGCTGGAACACCACACAACGAATTTACAAGATACTGCTGCTTTTCCTTGTGACTTGGCCACAGTGTTTACTTCCATTACTCTGGATTCTTTCATCGATTTCAACAAGAAAAAAGTCACGGAGTTTGTCTGTGTTACATATCCTGATTCTGAATTCTACAATTTCAACGAAGACCGCTCGTGTGAGAAGTTTGAGCGTGGGCAAATTTGGGCTCTCTACAGCAGTACTGATACTTTTCCCAACCACCATGGTTGGATAAACAAAGTTGAGAAGGAACCATTCAAAGTTCATTTGACCTGGCTTGAGACTTGCCCTCAGGAGGTAGATAAGCATTGGTTGGAGCATGGCATCCCTGTGAGCTGTGGTAAATTTGTGATCCGGAGTTCAACAATCGAGCATTGTGAAACCTGTGCTTTCTCCCATTTAGTGGTAAGCAGGTTGGAAATTGGTACAAGGCAGCAGGTCAATATTTTTCCAAAGGTAGGTGAGGTCTGGGCCATCTACAAGAACTGGGCACCTGACTGGGTTCCTTCTAGTAAAGATCGTCCTGCCAACTATGCCATTGGCTAGATCAAGATGTGTACTGAAGCTACCACTCTGTTTGCTTTCCTGACCAAAGTCAATGGCCACCTGTCTGTGTTCAAGCATGATGTGCTGAAGAGACCACTGGAGATACCAAGGAAAGAGAACCTGAGATTTTCTCATGGGATACCATCATTCCGCTTGACAAAAGATAATGGTGGCAATGTAACACCTCACCAGGTGTTTGGCTTCCACATTTGCACTGCATTTCATGAACATGAGCATCATGCATCCCTTTGTGAACTTATAGCACATGAAACATAAATTCGAAACATTGCAACGTGTTGTAGATTTCATGTGTGTTGTTCTTTATGAAATGTAAAGTGTGCAACGCTTAAGTGCAACATGTGCCACTCACTTAGTGAAACAAGGTTAGTTAGTGCTATGCAACACAATCATGAAACAAGTGAAACATGACTATGAAACAGTTGCAACATTTCATGTGTTTTTCATTGTTTCAAGATCGGACTTGCCACATACCTTGCTTGATTCTTGTGTGACCAATGTGTGTGGTGGCTAATAATCATCCTAAGTAACTTAGTTACACCTAGAATGTCATTAGGAACAAGGTTCATGTTGATCATTTTGCCTAATTAGGTTTCCAAGTCATGGTTGACCAATTTGGACCCCTAGAGCTCCTATGTTTGACTTCCTTTTAAAAGTGTAGCTTAGGACGTTTGCATGTCTGAGCAACCTAAAGCAAAGTTGTAGAGAATTATATAAGGAACAACAAAAAGTTATTTTATGGCCACCTCATGAAAATGTGCACAACATGTTCAAAAATGGTCCACAAGTCAGTTTTGAGGTTGGATTCTGACACTTAGAAAATTTCTAAGTATGAAGATATAGCTAATCAGATGCACTGTAATCCTTTTACCTATGAGTCTCCAGTTTCATGAGCTCAACTTTGGCATGATTTTACTCTATGCTATCACGTTTTCCAATTAGACTTTGAACTCCACAAGGAGTTTTTCCTTGTAGCTGATACTTAGGGCTTGCACTTTCAACAAGTTTTTGGAAGTTTGAATTCTAATAAGCATAGGATTATGAAATACATTGACTCCAAAATGTGGATAAACAAAGTTGAGAAGGAACCATTCAAAGTTCATTTGACCTGGCTCTTGCCCTCAGGAGGTCGGGTTGATTGCATCCCTGTGAGCTGTGATGGCCATCTCCATTGTGAAACCTGTGCTTTCTCCCATTTAGTGGTAAGCAGGTTGGAAATTGGTACAAGGCAGCAGGTCCTCAAAGGTAGGTGAGGTCTGGGCGTCTACAAGAACTGGGCACCTGACTGGGTTCCTTCTAGTAAAGATCGTCCTGCCAACTATGCCATTGGCTAGATCAAGATGTGTACTGAAGCTACCACTCTGTTTGCTTTCTGACCAAAGTCAATGGCCACCTGTCTGTGTTCCAAGCATGATGTGCTGAAGAGACCACTGGAGATACCAAGGACACCTCAACTCCATGCGCCATCTTCCGAGGAAGCGTCGCCTTCAATTGCATCTCCATCTCTTCCTCCACTCACCGCTCATAAATTGAAACCAAGCGTGTTGTAGATTCCATCCATTGCCGCTTAAGTGCGCATGTGCCACTCACTTAGTGAAACAAGGTTAGTTAGCTACCATGAAACAAGTGAAACATGACTATGAAACAGTTGCAACATTTCATGTGTTTTCACCACCGTCAAGCTTGTGTGACCAATGTGTGGTGTGGCTAATAATCATCCTCTCACCCTAGAATGTCATTAGGAACAAGGTCATGTTGATCATTTTGCCTAATTAGGTTTCCAAGTCCTGGTTGCCTCGACCCCACCTCACCGTTTGGAGCCGGACGTTTGCAAGTCAAGGTAGAGGCCGTACTTCTTCTCTCCTCATGAAAATGTGGTCCACAAGTCAGTTTTGCGCCATGTCCAAGTAAGAAACTGTCCGAGCTCTCAACTTTGGCATGATTTTACTCACTTTCGAATTAGACTTTGAACTCGACTCACTCTTGCATCTCGTCCCACATGATTCCCCACCATCTCCTTTACCTCGTCCACCCTCTAGTGGAGCCTATCGAGCGGAGTTGATGGCCCATTCGCCGAATCCGCCCCACCCGTCATGACTCGACCTCACCGGAGATCGAGCTCACCGTGGTTCGGAGCACTGAGGCTTCCCTTTCCCATTTTTTGCCACCACTTCTCGGATAGTTTCTCCATGTAACCGTGTAACTCATACCGTGCTTGGGTGGGGCAATGTAGGCTCGCCGTCATGGGAGTTCCACCGCACTCCTCGTCTCGCCGTTCCTACCATCTGCTTTATGTCGTCCACCCTGTAGGGAGCCTAGAGGCCGGTTGAGAGATTCGCCGAATCCGAGGACCCACCTCACCGGAGATCGCGGCTCATCGTGGTGAGCACTGAGGCTTCCCTTTCGGTTTTTCTTCTCGGATAGTTTCTCCATGTTTCACTTGGGTGGGGCAGTACGAGCCACCGGTGAGCTACGCCATGCCCGCTAGGCGGTGAGCCGTCGCCCAGTGTGCTCGCTGTGTTTGGCTCTGGTTTCGCCGGGAGACGTAGCCGTCGGTTTCCTTTCACTTACATGCGGGCCTTTCACTTACATGCGGGCTGATTTGGACCCCACTTGTCGATGATGAGTTAGAAAGATAGTTCAAAATTCCAGTTTTAGTGCCATTTTGTAAATTTTGTAACTCCTACTTGGTAGATCCAAATTGAGTACTTCCAATTTTGTTAGACTCATTGTTAGATCTAATATTTAATAAAAATATATCTTGAGCATATCATGTAGAAAATTTGGATGAATTAAATAGGAACTTGAAAAGTGTTTTTGATTGCATGCAAACTTGTTTAAATCATATCTTGAGTTTCTGTGATCCAAAATTTGTGAAATTTTGTGGGTAAGCTAGTATGGTATAGTAGAAGCTCTGGTTAAAATTTGAGAGTCATTGCATGTGTAGTTTTTGAGTTATAGATTTTCCTTTTATCATTGGATGATTCTTGTGTAAATTTTAGTAAATAATCTATGAATCCAATGGCCATGAAACTTGGTAGGTAGTATCCTAGTGCCCTAAGGATGCTAGGAAAAATATGAAATCTGTTGCTTGACACTTTTCATTAGGGTTTCTAATTATGCCATTTTAAGCCATTATGCCTTGTCATTTTGTGTAGGCTTTTATACTTGCTCAAATGGTGTGAAATTTTATGGTAGTCTACTTAGAGTATGTAGTGTCTACTGTAATTTTGTAGAATTAATGGGACAGTTTTCATATAGGTTTACTATTTTCCCTAATTAATTAAATAAATTAATAAAGGTATTAAAAGAAATGTTTTGGTAATGGACATCCTACTTTCTGGTGTTCTTAGGATATGTGTGATAAGATAGTAAAGTTGGTTTTGTCTAATTATATGTTTACATCATAAGTTGCTAATTATTTGTTGGCATTATGTCCCTCTGGACAGATCTGGGGACTTTAGAAAGTTCCCCATGAGATTTTGGTTTTCTGTGAATATGATGAATACAAGAGTTGTAGATAATTTATGTATCTAGCTCCTGTCAAAATTTGAGGGCATTTGGCCCAGTAGTTTAAAAACTACAGCTGTTTAAAGTTAGGTTCCTGTTTTGCTTATTCTCTGTCTTGTAGGACAGTGTTCTGTTGATTTAGGAATTCGAGCTGGTAAAGTGTCGAATCATGCTTTGAGGTCTAAAATGAATTATAGACAATTTCATAAGCTTTCCAGATTGTCTTGTTTCATATCATTTGGAATTATACATCTCCAGTTATGGCTAGTTTAATGTACCGATATATAGTCTTCATTTGCTGAAATACAAATGCTTGATTGAATGTGTTGCAACGTAATCGTTGATTGTTTGGGGTTAGCCTAACTTGAGAATATGCTTAGGTGCAGGTGCTAGGTCATTAACTGAAGATGAGCAATTATACATTAGGTTGTATAGACTTGGTAAGTAAAGTGTATTGAATAAAGCTTAACTTGGAATATGCGAACTGCAGTGAGCATGTGCATTCCCCGAGCATCCACGACATTCGTACATGTGCATCCATGATACTTATCTTGCGCATTCATGCAATAGGTGTGCGGAGGGAGTGACGTTGCTGGAGTTCGAGGAGCCAACCAGGAGGAGGAGCCCGAGGCGCGGGAAGTCGAAGAAGCGGCCGTCGTCGAGGAGTTGCCCGAGTGCCCCGATCACCACCTTCCTCTTTCTTTCTGAAAAGGCAAGCCCCGAGCATTATAAGTCTCCCATGTCTTTACAAATATATTGAGTATCTTTATTGTTGATGATGCATTAAGTATAGGAATTGGTTGAAACCAATTGCTGCATTATATATCCTCCTTGTCCGAGATATCGCCTTTGGAATCCTATTTAAGTTCGAGAACGGGTTAAATGCTTAGCCATGCTTAGTGCGGTAGAAGTCGGTGATTTCACATCACTGCGAGATTTAGGATGAGGTGGATCACGGTTGGCTATATTTGCTATCGTGGAAAAGAACTATGTGAATAATGAATTAAGACCGGGCGGAGTCTTGTGTAGGTTTGAACATAGTGACTCCGTCAGTGTGGCGTTTAAGGACCGATCTGTTTATGCGTCCTCATGTCATGTTGAACGCACCTAACACTTAGCTGGCGGATAAGTCGTTCCGACCGCGGAAGCCGAGTAGCTCAACTCGGGCCGGGAACCGTGGGGGTTGGATGCATTACGGAGGTAGTAAGGATGTGCGGAGAGCCATTGGCATAAGTCCAAGGGGTCGGGGTTTAAGATCCTGCACTTCTGGCGAGTGGTTCTCACGAGAATGCAGGCGGCCCGGACCCGCGTCTTTTCTTTTTACTTTTCTCCTGAGTTGTACCAAAGGTGACTTGTTTGCGACCACGACGGGGAAGCGGGGTTTGTGTTAGGAATACCCTCCATTTGGATAGGAATCGATTGAATCGCCGTCTCTCCGGGATAGTGAGAACTTGACTTGAGCGGCGGCACAG